TAGGTCTGCAGTTTGTCAAGATTCGAACGGAAGATGAAAGATTCCAGGATTTTCAATCTTCAGTGCTTGTCATTTAGCATGAATACTTCGTCTGCTACATTAAATTCGCCAATAATGGAGGAGAGGTATGTTAATCCATACTACCTGCATCCAAGTGAAGATCATTCTCTCCAACTCACTTCTGTAATCCTTATAGGTTAAAATTTATATTCTTAGTCTCGGGCGATAAAAAAAGCATTTATTTCCAAAAATAAGTTGAAATTCATAGATAAAACGATTCAAGTCCCGAATAGAACTGATCCGATATATGGATCTTGGGAAAGGTGCAACACAACCATCCTTTCCTGGATAATGAAGACTCTGTCACCCACAATTGGACATGGTGTAATCTCCATTTATCTTGGAAAAGACCTTTGGAGGGACTTGCATGATCGATTTTCACAAGGAGATTTGGTTAGAATTTCGAACTTACAAGAAGAAATCCAAAATCTGAAACAAGAAAATCACTCTATAAGAAAGTATTTCACATAAATGAAGATTCTGTGGGAGGAGTTAATAAACTTACGTCCAATAATTAGCCGCATATGTCAAGTGCAACGTACCTACAATGTTATTCCTTCCATTAGGAAATATCAAGAAGAAGATCAGATTATTAGGTTTTTAAAGGGACTGAACGAAACATTCAATGTAGTTTAACCCAAATCTTGATGATGGATCCTTTACCAAGCATCAACAAAGTTTTTGCCCTAGCTATTCAACATGAGAGTGCTGTAGATGCTGGGACACCCTCATATCCATATGAGTCAAACATTTTATATACAAACAGAGGAGAAGGTAGTGCTCAACAAATAAGGAATACATATATAACTACATATGAAAATTCAGATGGAATTACAAACAAAAAATTCACTAATCCTGGAAGGAAAAATACAAAAAGACCTACATGTACACACTGTGATCTTACTAGACATATAGTGGATAAGTGTTATAAAAGGCACGGGTATCCACCTAGTTACAAGCCAAAGTAAAGAAACTCCAGTATCAATAAAGTAAGCTCATACCCATCTGAGTTGGAAGTAGAAAGAAGCAGCAATAATAATAGTTCCCATGCTAAATTCAATACTCAGTGCAATATCTCAGAAGCACAACCTCGTTCATTTACAAAGGAACAGTATAATAGAATTTTGACCATGATTCAGCCTACAATACTACAATCATTCTACATATCAATAGTTTCTCAACTAATTTCAATCTATCCACATAACCAAGTAAACTTTTACCTATTATATTACATTTAATTACAACAAAAAATGTGACTGGATCATTGATTCTAGGGCTAGTGACCATATTAGAAGTTCAATTGAATTCTTTTCTTGTTTTCGACCTATAAAAGGCACAAATATTAAATTGTCAAATGCACAAACAATACGTGGGACTCATGCTTGAGATGTACACCTACAGTTACCTTACATAATGCAATCAAATTGTTTTAATTAATTACAACAACTTTCTAATTCTAGAGAATTTGACTTTTCTTTTTGTTGATTGTACTTGTTGACTTATTTTATTTTTTATTATATATACATATATATATATATATATATCGCCTTGTACATTATGCATAATGGGAACCTTTGCGTTCTCCACCTGGCTATATACAATGACCTGTAAGCCATGCAACTCTCTCGTGTGACAAATTAGTAATAAGATATTTTTTTTATTATAATTTAAGTCGAATTTGACAATTATATATACTTACCATCTTGATTTTAGATTTTTTTTTTAAAAAAGAGGAGAACCCACAATTAAATATTAAAATAAAAATCCATC